AGTTAATCTCAAAGGCCTTCATGTCCCTCTTGCAGACCTCTCTGTAGTGCAACTGAGGGCACCTAGTATATCTTTTGTCATTTGCAAGTTCCCTGTAGGAGATGTCTTTGGGAATTTGGCCATCCTCCATATTATGAACTTTGTCCTTCCAAGCCCAGGATACAGCAGATACACCTCAAGTCAAAAGTGTTCAGTCTCTTCTTCTGTTTGACATATGTTGTCCATTTTCCCTCCCATAGAGAAGTGTGCTTATGATGCAGGCATTGTAGACTGCCATCTTTGTTTTGACAGAGAGCTTGGATTTCTCTCACACTCATGTGGTGAAGTTAGAGAAACAGGTTCACAACTTCCAGCTCATAGTCATCAAAGGTGATGATTGGTGGGGACATCTACATCCTGTCCCAGGACATTCATTTTTTTTTTTTTTCAGGCTGATAGCTCAAAGTCCCCACAGGCCTCATCAGTGATTCATCAGAGTCTGGAGCTCCTCTCGTGTGTGGGTTGTGACTGCAGCATTATCCGCAAACAGCATGTCTTTGATCAGTGTCTCCCGTACTTTTGTTTTGGACTCAAGGTGTGTGAGATTAAACAGCCTGTCATCTTATCTGGAAACATTGGCAGAAGACTTCATGCAATGGAAGCAATAGGGCTGTATTGCAATGCTTGATCAGATCGGGTTGTATTCTATCACTACCTGGTGCCTTTCCCGCAGCCAGACTGTCAATGGCTCTGCTGAGCTCACCCAATGTTGGCTCAGCATCCAGTATATCCATGATTGGCAAGCATTTGATGGCATCAAGGGCTGATGAATACCTGGTGCACTGTTTTAAGTAAAGGTCAGATTAATGTTCCACTGATCTCTCCATCTGTTGTCAAGGATTACTTTCCCAGTTTAGTTAGTTTCCCTCTTGATACCATTGTACATTCTCATCATAGCAGCAGTTTGGATGTCTTCACTGAGCTGGATCTAGTACTCATTGGTGCAGCATCGAACCATCTGTTGAACATTGCTCCTTGCAGTTCTAAGAGTTTGAACATATTTTTGTTAGATGTCTTCTTGTGTTCAGCAATAGTGTCACACTTGGCTGCAATGATAGGTATCATCTCGAAGTACTTTGCTTCAAACCAGTCATAAAATTTAGTTTTTTTTTCCCCAAATGTAGCCAGGGCTCTGCGATAGATGGTGTGTCACAACTCTTCCCACTTCTGTGTTGCTGACACTCTAGACTGCAAGATGGCAATTTCCTTTTCAAGGTAGTAGCAAACTGCTCCATTAGTTCTCTTTTGGGCATCTTGCTAGTATCAATGTGGGCCTTTCCATGCTGTCTGGCATGGTGGAATTTCTTCAGCTGCATCCTGGTCCTGCAGCACACCAAAGGAATGGTCTGTAACACAGTCTACACTTTGGTAGGAATGAGTGAGTAGTATGTTCCTGAGTAAGATGCACCTAGTCAGGATCAGGTCCAGCTGGTTCCAATGCTTTGAGCAGAGATGCTACAAGGAAACCATGTGTTGGGGTTTTGTCTGGAAGTATGAGTCAGGAATGCACAGGTTGTGGAAAGTGTAAAACGAGCAGCTATTGACTATTTTCATTCATTTTTCCCCCAACCAACATGGTCCAAGGCAGAATGGCCAGGAGTTATGATCAGTGCTGACTCTGGCATTGAAATTGCCCAGGATGATTAATTGCTCTGTGCTGGGGATATTTCCAATTGTTGTTGTGAGGTTCTCCTAGAACTCTTGCTTTGCTTCAGGTGAGGCAGTTAAGGTGGATGCATACACAATGATGAGAGTAAGGACACCTTTAATGCTGAAGAGGTTGAAGTGTAAGGAGTCATGCTGAGCTGTTGCTACCTGACTCCCCCTTCTCCAGCAAGGTGTTCTTTACGGCATAGCCAGCTCCATGTTCCCTGATCTCATCTGAGCTCTTCCCCTGCCAGTAGAATTCCTCAGCCAGACAAGTTTCCTGAAGGGTGGCTATATCCACATTTAGTCTCTTCAATACATTATTCATAATGGCCGTCTTCCTGGCATCACCAAAATGTCTGAGATTCTCTGTATTGCCCATCAACATGGTCCAGAAATTCCAAATTCCCAGTTTTAGAGCTGGTCTCTTTTGTTTTTGTTTCATTTTGCTTGGTGAAGAATTCTCAGTTGTGCCTGTAAATGTCATCATTTGTAACTGGTAGACTGCTACTCCTTGTTTTGTGTCAACATAGCAAAGCTGGAGTGTTCTCTCCAGTTTGATATCCAGGTTAACTACTTCTCCAGTGTTAAGTGTCAGATAGGATCAAGTATGGGCACGATGTTATGGAGGACAAGATGTTTCCCATGCAGCATGTTCTCCATTTTCACGATGCTGATGGTTTCAAAGGTACAGCAGGGACATTACAGTTTGGTACCAATGCTGTCACAGGAGCTGCCAAAACAAGGCTGAAATCGGCAATGAACTGTTTTAGGGGCTCTAACACTGGATACTTCCTCAGAGTTAACTCCTGAAGCCTTTCCTATGACTAAGTATCCCAGAAGGCAGTAGAGATTTAGAATCAGGGTTTTCCTTCCTCTAGATGGGTTGCCTTCCAAGGTTAAAGATCCCCATCTATCCTTATGTAGTAGGTTTTACTGGGTTACATGGTACCAGTAGCAGAGGCTTCACCCTTAACCTGACCCAAGAAGAATAGAATTTGTAAAGCTCTTGACCCTAATAATTCCAGAATAAGGTGCCTAAATTTTTTAGTTCCAGAATTTTTTATGAAAGAAAATATTAATACCTTGATTTTCTAAAAAAAACTTTTTAGAAATCTGTACACTTTTATTCATTTCAATTTTAATTTTTTTTTTTTTAGATATACTAGATAAATTTAGAATATTAACTAATCAAGCTGACTGCCAAGAATTAAAATTTTACTTTTCAATGATTTCCATAAAAAATTCTATTACTATTCTGTTCATTTTGAGGGTACAGAAATTACAAGAATGTATTTCATGGGTGTGTAAAACTTTTAAGTCATATTATTAAGCACACAGTAGGTTTATTTTAGGGAATCCTATCCATGGGTTATGCCTCAAAACTCAATGGTGTATTACTAATCAACTAACATACTAGCATGTGTGAAGCTCATAAAATGCAAACAGTAAAAATTGGTTCTGTTAGAACATGATGTGCCTACTTTAGAATATGTATATGTCCAAATGTGAAAACGTGTGTGTGTGTGTGTGTGTTTAAAGGCAAGTCAATCAATACTGTGCCACAATCTGAAAAGGATTTTACAGATTAAATGTTTACTTCAGTGGTTATATTGTTCAGATTCTAAATTCCTTTGGGTCATGCTTGGGTGTGTATTTTGGTATATAAGAATTTATATAAAAAATATACATGCCTTTATAACAATGGAGATGTGGGATGCTTGCAAAAGAACAATAATTCAAAAGCCTGTCGCAATAATCAAATTGCTATTCCATTGATACTGCCTTAGTGCCTCATTATTGTTGGCCTTGAATTTTCAACAAACAACATGAAACATTTATTTTGTGGGAATCTTGCAGATAAAATGTTAAGTTTTCAAACCCAATGTCATCAAACATTTAAGTTGAACAATTTCTTAACATGGGTTGCTCCAAAATCTTACCACATTCACAATTTTGTCGAATTCTTATTCAATAGCACTTTTTTGATTGATCTCTTAAAAGTAAATTCTTAAGATGGTATCAATAACTTGAATTTTGTGAATAAAATTACAAGAAATTTGTTTTGAAAAGTTACAGTGGACATAAACATTTGTGATAAATGTTTTTTTGTGGCCATGTTTTGAACACTTCTACCAACATTTTTACCATCCAACAATGAAGTGTAATTAGAATATAAATTTGGAATGTTTCTGTATAAAATGTTAGATGAAGAAATTCAAGTCATTTTTATGTTTTGTTGAAATTTCTCTGGTGCACATGCATTGCTTAGCATTTTAAACATCTTTCAGATTCTTTTCATTTTGGGGATTCCTGTTTTCTTAGAATTTTAATTAATACTTAATAATTGATTGTAAATATATCACACAAAAACAATGGTCATCTTTTAACAGAGTAGGTTTTCCTTAGATGAATATTAGTTAGTATTTTTGTTTAACCCTACCAATATTTATCTATCTCTTTCAGAGATTATTACTAAATAACCAACAGGTCTTTCAAGGATGAGAGATTAATAGGGATTAATAGAGACATTTACATTTCTGTCAGGTGAATTAGACTAGTACTTATCTATCAAAATGTCCAGCTGCAATAATAATTATGAGTGAGAAAATTGTTTTTGTATCTATGAAGAGAGTCCATTTAAACAAGTGTTTACAGGGACTGGGTTTTGAGTGACTGCTGGTCCTGAAATAAATTTAAATCTATTACCAAATAATTTTGAAATTTTTTTTTTTGGAAAATATTGTCCCAAATTCTAAGCAATCATCACCATCATTTTTCAAGTTCTTTGAATTAATATTCTCATTTGTATTCAAATTGAAACAAATTCCTAAATCCCCAAAATAGATCAGGACACATGTCTCTGTTGTTACTTTCTGAGGCATTTTTTTCTTAAGGGATTTTTATGTTCTTTTTTTTTTTTTTTTTTTTTTTTTTTTTATTAAGCCACATATACTTTTGTCAAACTTTCCAGTGATGAACTTCATCTTAAAAACAGCAAAATGTGTTCCTCTTTCTATCCAAATATATCCACCTTCGTCCAGTTTCCTTTAATCACTTTCATATCATTTTTTCAATGTTGACTGAGTTTATGTCTTTAAGAAGTTAACTGATTTCTTCTTGATACCCCTAAAAAAACTGTTGTAAAAACTGAGTAAAAAGCAATTTTGCCAGAAAAGAATTTTAATCATTCAAAGTAAAAATCAGCATTGATAAGGGTGTTAATCAAAACAATTTGTGAAATGTTAACCCTTGCTTTGTTTGAATGGAAAATGAACAATTTTTTTATACATTTTTCTTTTTCTTTCTTTCAGGTTCTCGACGACTGGAAATATATTGCTATGGTTCTTGATCGGCTCCTCTTGTACATATTTTTGGCTGTAACATTTGGTGGCACTGTTGGCATATTAATGAATGCACCACACATATTTGAATATGTTGACCAGGATGCCATCATTGCTGCTATAATGAAAGATAATAAAAACAATACGGGATGAACATCTCGAATCGCAGTCTGTTGAAGAGCAGTCATATTTGGTAGCACAGATGTTGCTGTTTTTCCCTCCCCTAAACACAGCGGCAACAACTTTACTGTTTGTATAATGGAGAAAGGTTGCTTGAGTTGGACATTAATAATGTTTGGACTCCCAGTGTCCAGATTTTAACCATGGGGTCCTCCTAAGTTGTGTGGACATGTGTGTGTATATTTTTCTGTATCATCCTATGGGTGAGAAAGTGTGTATATGTGTGCATGACTGCAGGTCTAATTGTGATTCTATCTGTGATTGTTTACGTGAGGCTATCCTGGATGTGAACTTGGTTGTACCTTTTCTTGCATAACATGTACAGCCTAGAATTTTGGGGTCCTGAAAAATATTGAAATTGTAGGGTGGGGGTTGTTAAACTTTTTTTTTTTTTTAATTGATGGAAAATATGCCAAATGGGAAAAGGAACAAAAGTATTTTAAAAATTGAATGAAAAATTAAATTTAAATTGAATTTAAAAGAAAAAAAAAAACAAAAATGTTGTGGGGGGGTGGGATGATGGCATTAAAAATTGGATTAATGGGGTTTGTTTTCTTTTTTTAGATGTCTTTTTCAAATTTCTGTTCATCAGAAATGATTTAAAATGATGACAAATATAAGTAAGAAAAATAAAAGACCAAAACCAATGATAAAAAAGGAACAGAAACTGCCCACAACAATCTGAATCTCTGAGTGGTTGACTCTTTCTACCACCGGTAAATTTTTATCTGCTTCTCAGTTTTTTACAAACATACACACACACACACACACACACAAGAAAAAAAAATGTCACCAAATACTGGCAAGAAGAAAGATTAAAAAAGGTTTATTGTTCATTTTAGATATAAAATGTGAATTTAGTTCAGTTTTAGTTCTGTTCATAATAAAGGTTCAAGGAATTTGTGGAAAGAAATGTTTCAAGTCAAGGGAAGCCATAAACTCACAAAGTTGACCTTAGTCTGCACAGAATCATAATTTCTCAAGTAAAACAGCTTGTGTGCTTGACTGCACTTCCAGTAAATTTAAGATTAAAATTACATAAAAAAAAAAAAAATGTAACAACAAAATTCAAATTTAAAAAAAAAAAAAATTGATTATTTGATTGTTGGCAGGTGTGGGGGTGGAAGGAATTTGAGAATGAAAAAAAAAATTTTAAAATGTGAACATAACAAGGCAATAAAAAAAAAGCAACATTCATAAAATAACAAGAAATAATTTGTTTACCTCCCCCTCCCCTAACACAACCAGACTTTTTCCAAAATGATTGTGGGATTTTTGATTTTTAACAAATATTAAAAACATAACCTAAAATATTATTATAAAAATAGAAAACAAACAAAAAGAAAAAAATACTGCTTAAAATATTATTATTATATGATGATGATGATGATTAATAATGATAATAACCATGTTTAAAATGTTATTTTTCCTTTCTGTTTTTGGTCATGGATTTTTTTTAAGTAAAAAAAAAAAAAAAAAAAGATTAAAATAGAACAACAACTCCTGCCCCACCCCACCCAAAATCCATTTTGTTTTACTAAAGAAGTGGTTACTTAGTAATATTTTTTAACCACCCTTATGAAAAGAGGCCATCCACCTATTTCTTTACCCTCATTCCAGCCTCTTTTTTTTGTATTATTAGTATTTATCTTGTATAAATTTCCCCTTCCCCCCACCAAGGACTTTGCAATGCTGTGTTTCCTGTTTTTGTAGTGGGTTGGGGTCGGGGGTGGGGGTTAATAACATTTTTTAGTCATGACTGATCTGCTATCATCGTTTTGCTAATCAACACTGAAAAAAAATGATCTTAAGCAACTCACTTCAGACTATTACTACCAATGTACCAACTACTACTATTTTCTACTAATATTATAGTAACTTCATATTATTTACTAATAAATAGCACAATAACATGGACTATTTGTTGGTTAAGATTCATCCCTGCCCCAGGTTATGTTTTTATTTCTTTTTTTATTTTTTATTTTTTTATTTTTCCTTTTTTTATTTCTTTTTTTATTTTTCCTTTTTTTTTATTTTTCCTTTTTTTTATTTTTCCTTTTTTTTATTTCTTTTTTTATTTTTCCTTTTTTTCTTTAATAGTATTTTGTTTCCCCAAAAAAAAACCTGTGTATTTTTTAAATGTCATTTCTCCAATTATTTGGAAGAATTTCATGATTTATTGACTTGTCTAAGATTTGGTTGCTAATTTGTGACACAGATGGGAAATTTTGTATTAATTAATCATTATTAATTGTAATTATGCAAATTTTTAAAGACGAATTTTTAAAAATCTCATTAAGAACTAAAACTACTAACAACAATAAAAAGGTTTATTAAAGAACATTATTATTATTATTATTATTATTTTGAATTGCTGGGCAATTTGGGATTGGAAAAATGAATGTTAAAATTGCTCATTTATAAACTATGTTATAAAAATAATAATAATTATTTTCTGTCAATAGTTAACCAAAGTATAAAAAATTAATTTTATTGTTCTACTATGTGCTTATCAAAAAATTTGTTAGAAACAATTTCTATCATCAATCATTGAGATAAATATCTTGTCTGGTTTAATGGTTAGGGATTATTGAAAGATTTGCCAATGGTGAATGTGGGCAAAAAATTCCTCTCACCAAAATGTGATTTTATAAGACATTTTTTATTGATAGATCTATAGAATTATAACTAGTATTTTTATTATTTTTTTTAATAGTTAATATTTGTATTACTAAACTTACAATGTTTGTATTTGTGTTTGATACTACTAATCATTTATGTATTAGAGATTGAAATGAATTATTTTATTTCAGTTATTGCTATCATTATTATTTTTTAAAAATATTAATGATGATGATTACTATAACAACATTATTTTAATATTATAATTATTCCAATAATTAATATTTTCTTGTTGAAATGATTTTCTTTGGCATTTTTAAAGGATTTATTCTGCATATTGGTTTTGGACAAAAATTGAAGTGAAACATTCAAATTGTCAAATATTGAATAATGTGTACATGTGTTTGTGTGTGTATATATATATATATATATATATATATGTATTTATTTGTGCATGAATACATATGTATATATACACATGTGTATATATATATATATATATATATATATATATATATATATATATATATATATATATAAAAACATGTAAAGGCATATCTCATATAAAATGTAAGATAAATAAAGAATAAAAATAAAACCGAGGCAACTTAAGTTTTACCCTCAAAAATGAAGGATCATTAGGCCAGGTTCAATATTGAATATATTCAATACTTCTTTTTTGAGGGTGAAACTTAATTTGGTTGGGTTTTGTTTTTTTATTCTTTACACTTTATCAGCTCTACATTGAATTGAGCACTTTTAATTGACAACTTTATCAGAGTTGGAGTTTACCAGCTACAATTGTATTTTGTTATATATACATATATATATATAATAAATTGCTGTAGTAAGGTGTATATAACTATTTTAATTTATATATATATATATATATATATATATATATATATATAATATATATAAATATTTTAAGTAAATATATACAAAAAGCGCACATATACCTTTATACTTAATTTCTTTATATTGAAATGTAATTATTCTCTCTCTCTCTCTCTCTCTCCCCACTCTATAAAAATGTTTCCATTGCACTTTATTCTAGTATCTACATTATGTATATATTATTTATATATACATCCTGACAATGATTAACTTGACACTCAATCACCAGCTCTATTGAGACATAGTCGTAAAGATTTCTCTCCATAAAACAAAAGGCAACTACCAAAAGTTTTCTGCTCACTATTTGAGACTCATTGTTTTTTTGGTTGTTTTTTATTTTTTTTTTATTCCCAACTTTGACCTGTTAACGTTTTTCTTTGCGTCCTTCCCTGAAAATACATCACTGAATAGAAAAGAAATAAAAGAACAAGATTTGAAATATGCTTATCTTCTCTTTGCAATGGAAATGATGACTTATTTTCTCAAAGGAAAGCAATAGTCAATCAAAATCAGAGAAAACAAAAACAAAATATTGATTTTGTCTTGAATGAAATGGTCACATGTTATTTTTTTTATTTTTATTTTTTCAAAGCTGTTGAAGTTTACCTGGGAATCAGAAGCATTTGAAAATGTACCTGAAATTGGAGGAAAAAAAAAGGAGTGGATCAGTGGTATTACTATATTCAAGAAAGAAGGAATTAACTGGACAATGTTAAAATAAAATGAACACCACAAAACTGGGCACTTTTAGTAAATAACTAATATCTACATTTATATACAGATAGGTGTTTTGGGCATGCCCATATATATATATATATATATATATATATGTGTGTGTATATATATATATATATATATATAATATATATAAGATCACTATAGCCATCTGAAAATCTCCCTAATTATGTGAATGTATTTTTAGGGGTCAACTATTGACTTTGACTCAGGGCTTCAATGATAATCAATAATGACAAAAAGCTTCTTATTTGGAAAAAACGTCTTGCATTTTATATTATTTGCTTTATTGCAGAAATACTTTTTTCTTTTTATGCAATGATTTCTAGTCAATGTCACTTGGTTTTTGTCTTCATGATTTTGTTTTAAAGGATATTTTCTAATGTAGGCTCAACAATCTTTGATTTTTTTTTTTAATTGAAAGAATTTGCTAACAACACTTTTTGTTTTCCTAATTATTTTAATTTTCACTTAGTTTGCCTTACAATCACTACGGTCCTGCGCCATTTACAAAGATATCAATAAATGTTTGCGATATAGATAAAAAAATTATTTTTTCTTTAATTTATTTAATTCTAACACACACATGAGGATGAATTGGTAAGTCTATAGCCTGACACAATTATTAATTTTGATCAAAAACTTTCACTGTAGAATATTCAATGTGGATTCAGTCTATTGACAAGGATGGTGATTATGTTGAAAAATGTGATTTTTCA